CTTCATAGATCCTTGGATTTCTTGCTTGGATTTGTTAATTTTAGCTTAACAACATTTACCAAAGCAATTCTCAGCTTTGTTGGTTAGTAATTTCTAGATCTAGCTTTGATATTGCTTAATCTTGCATGTTACAATATAGACCTTTGGTTTGTTGTTGATGTGTGATCCATTTGATTTAATTTGATCTTTGATCTTGTTGTTTGTTTGATGTAATTGGTGTTTGATTAATGTGATATGACCTAATTTTTATGCATAATTGATTACCTTTTCATTTGGATGATCGGATAAGTCGTTTGCTGCTGAAAAGTGCTTTTGTAAGCTGATTTTTTGCCTCTATCTCAGTGGTAATCGATTACCCTGCCTATTTTTCATATTTCTGGTGAATTTTTAAAGGGTTAATTGATTACCTGATTACCATTGGGACAAATTTCATTTTTCTTGTATTTTCTTGCTTGTTTGGGTTCCTTTTCATCCTTAAACTTCATGGAGTGATGTGATGTATTTATATGCATTATTTTTCACCTTTTCCATCATTCGACACATGATTTTTGGTTTTCTATTGATGAACGATTATGATTATTGTGTTGCGTTCTTAGTATGTTGATCATGTTTCATAATCGTTTGCACCTTGTTGGTTATTGATTATTAATGCGTATCTTATTGAATGTGTATCGCATGCTTATGTTTGCTTCCGTTGAATGCATGATGATCTCGTTGGATGTTTAATTGTACAATCTCGTGGAATTTGTTTGTGCTTAGTCTTGGATGTTTGCATTCTTGATGTTTAGTTTGGCTTGTTATGCATGCTCATTAATGATCGTTGCTTGCTTGAGGTGTCGCTTTAAGTGTTCATGTATACTTGTTGCATGCACTTTTCGTACATGTTGTTCTGGACTTTGACATGTTGTTAATTGTGCATCCATGTTGCCTACTACTTTTTACACCTATTTCTGCCTGAAAACATTGTCTTGCTTGTGTGCTGGATTTTACTGCTGTTTTGTGCCGGAAGCGTTGTTGTAGGTGCTGTTTTGGCTTTTGTTTTCTTACTTTTTGCCTTGCCTTTGCATGCCTCCTTAGGACTCCTAGTCCAACTTAATTTTCGATTAAGCTTGGAGTAGGATAGACGTTAGGAGTTTAATCCATGCATGATAACATTAGGATAGTCCCTCTTAACTTTAACCTTAGGTCCATTTTTTTGCATGCTAACATTAGGATAGAATTTCCTCTCGCATCCCGATCTTAGGACCACTTTACATGACAACATTAGGACCGAGTTTCCCTTGGACCTTTCGTGCGTCTCTCTTCTCATCTCAAAACAATTTCAAAATACTTAATAAAGACGATGAACGTTGTGCATCCCGAGCCTTAAGCATATGGGAAATGATGAGTGAGGGGTCTCCTCTCACTTGTCTAGAGTGTTTAGCACACGTCCCATCTAGGGGAGATATGCGACGCATTCGTTCCTATATCATAGTCTTTAGTACAACATGAATCACAAAGTAAACTAATTCACTTCACTAAAACTCACAAACAAAATTCAAACCTTTTTATCTTTCAGGATTTGTGTTTCAAAATCATTTTTAGAAAAAAGTATGTTACTTTTCCGTTCTACCGCAAACAAGCATTGTCCCTAACTGCTGGAATGGGAACTTAACGTCGCTCATAAAAAACACTTAACCAACCTGTGGTTTTGTCACTTTCCGAACTACGTTTTCTCTGATTTCACATACCAGATAAGGATACGTAGGCACAAGACGACGATGTCTTGGCGGGCAACCTTCCTCCATCACCCGTAGTTTTCCGAACTACGTTGACTCTGACTTTCCCATTGCACGAGGGAATATGTAGGCATAGGGCGCCGATATCCTATCGAGTCTCTTTCTTTTTCTTTTGTTCTCGTTTCTGTTTACCAATAACTTTTAGATAACACACCCTTTGATTAGACAACAAGCGTGGATCCCATTGAGTAAAACGGACGTGAGGGGTGCTCATACCTTTCCCTTGCGTAACCGACTCCCGAACCCAAGATTTGGTTGCGATGACCTTGTCTTATCCTTTCTTTTAGGTTTTCTTCGACCGTTTCCTTTCCCTCTCTTTGGGATAAATAATGTTCGGTGGCGACTCTTTTGTTTTTTCCGTCGGGTGTTTTTCGCAGTTGTGACACAATCAGTGCAATTGATCATGTGCGAAAGCTTTGGAGATAAAGAATGCAGAGGAGTAGCATTATCGACAAGTCAATTGTCAACCATTGTCATCTTGGTCTTACTCAAGATCAAAAGAAGAAAAGGGGTTGAATCAACATTAAAATCGGTTGTGTTTGTATGGTTGCTCTGAACACTTTTCTTGTATATCGAATCTTTGCATAGTAAGAAAGTATCCTAATTCGACATTGGAAATTAGGCGCAGACATACCCACACGCGAGGACAAAAGTGGGGAACTGCGTGAACAAATCCTCGTGTCGATCTCTCTCTTATCTCTTTACTCGCTTTATTTTTCATTATGCAATTTATCAAATAGTATTGATTAATCGATTGACTCGTAAGAATTTTCCTGTGATCTTTTTGTTTTAACTTTATTGTTGATTAGCTTATAATCACTTTTGACTATAAGTGGTTTTCATATCAACAACAACGCAAAGGAACTTCTGAAAATTCGTTCGCTCACCAAGTGTTTGATAAATTGCATAGTTCAATATTTTATGCTCATTATCATTGAAAATAGCATTACTAAGTAATTAATTTAAACAAGTAATAACGTGATACTCGATTAAATTTCTAATTTGATTATTGTATTTGGCATTTCATAATTGACTCTGCATATCTGAGTTCCAATAACTAGGCTCGTGTAGACGACTTTTGCCGATCCACACCAAAACCTTCCGCGTGCACTCTTTTCAAATAACTTTAAAACCCAAATTTTATTTGGTGAGTTTGGCTTGGATGTCTATTTATCCCCCTCTAGACAAGTCGTCGTCGTCTAACAAATTTAACTGTTGTGATAGGTAGCGTGCTACCTGGGTTATAATCGCAGTCACACGATCGTGGTGAAAAGAATCACACTTACAATCACCCCTACCTCACAACGGTTGATCAACTATGGTGGTATCCCTTTTCCAACCATGGTGAAATGGCTTTTACGTATTAGTGTCAGTTGGAATAATGTATGCAAAGCAAATACGGATGGAGGATTAGAGGTCAAGGATATTGCAACCTTCAACAAAGCTTTGTTATGCAAGTGGAAATGAAGGATACTTAGTGAACATAAGGCTATTTTGGTGGGTATTCTAAAACATAGGTATGGAGACATCGAGAGGAAAATGTTATTCAGAGAACAATCAAGTAGAAGTATGAAGGAATCATTATGGTGGAAGGATCTATAACTCATAGGAAGAGTGCATTTTAAAAGGAAGATTGTTTCTCAAACTATATAACATGTAGGTTTGGTGCAGGAAATGGAGTGGCATTTTGGAATGAAAAATGGCTAGGCCCATAACCATTGCAAAGGGTGTTTCCTGATTGATATAATCTGTCTTCATAACAAGATGGGAGTGTGGTGGAAATGGGCTCACGGATTAAAGGATCTTGGACCCGAGACTTGCATATTATAGGAACATGTATTGAAAGGAATATTGTTCATATGTGTGAAGAATTGAAGATGTTTCTTACAAATTTTGTCCTAAGAAATGTGAAGGATAATTATGTGTGGACATCTAGTGCATATGGGATGTTTATAGTTCAAACATCATTACTAAAAATAATACATTTTATGACAAAGTTTTCACCTCACTGAACACAAAACTGAGGTATAATACCAGGATGCACCATGTTTTATTTATTTTAAAATTGCCTTAGTTTAAGAATATTACCGAAGGGAAACATAATTCAGGATATGCTTCGAATCCTAACATATGTAGTTTATGTTTTTATTTCGTTATAAATGGTATCTTTATTTTTATTTTATTTTTTATTTATAAATTAAATCATTTATTCATTCGATTTCTTATATAACCGATGAGTTAGATAATCATATTTTATTATAAAAGTAATCGTTCATTAAGTTTTACCCTAAATCTTCAAGGTTTTGTGTTGTATGTTGATCTTCTAACACCAACCTTGAACAAATTTTTTCAGCCCTTGCAATCCATCTCACATAATGTTGTTGTTGTTGTTATTTTCACCTCTTGCAAGATCATTGTTATATTTTAGAACAATCCATCTCACATAATGTTGTTAGTTGTTGTTATTGAGTTTTTGACTAAGATTACGTTTTTTATTTTTAATTATTTGTGTAACTTTCATCTTGTTCCTCTGAGCATGTTAAGAGAATCTTATAGTGACAGAAAATACAGTTGAATTTATTATATCTTATACCGATAATTGTTTCACTAACACCTTTTTAAACATATAATCTATTAAATTATTTTTTGAAATAATAATATGAAAATTTATATTGTATTTGAAAACATATAACACTAACCAATTTATATAAAAATTAATTTATTAATTAAATTAATATTTTATTTAAAATTTTAAAAAATCATTTAATAGATGATTTACGAATTCAATTAACTCAATTTATTAATGAACGGATCAGATTGATCTGAAAATCTATTAATAAATGGATCAGATTGATCTGAGTCTTTAAATTACAGATTAAACATTCAACCTAAATCAAATCAAAGATTATTGATTGAGTTGAATTTTAGATTTGATCAAATTAACCTAAATTAACCTACAAAGACCAATATATCCATTACTTTTTGCAATATATTTCTTTAAAAAAATTGATGGAACTTTATCCACTTTCACTTTACGAGGACTATAGGAAATAAAAAAAACATATACACTTTCACTATAATCCTCCCTTAACTTACATGCACAACAGCAACAAAATAAATTTAAAAAATGCCTATGCATAAATATGATGCAATCTTACTCTAAATCTACCCCTATTAATAAATTTACACATTTCTTTTTCCTGTATTTTACTAATATGGTGGTTAACTAGCACCACGGTTAATCATGTTCTGGTAGTGATTTAATAATGATTCTTCTCGTTGCAACCTCATTTGTTGGTTGAAGTTTCGTATGAACGCTTCCGCTCGTTGATTCAACTCGTCTTGACTCAGCGACGGTTCTTTTCTCAGCCTCACACTCTTGTTCAAGTTGAAATCGCTGACAGAATCTTCTAGTTGATGTGGGCCCGCGTCATAACGGTTTTGCCACGTGTCATACTTTTTCATGTGTCTACTTAACGGTATTGACCGACCCTCCGTTATCGTCTTCCACGTGTTCTCCAACGTCTCGTGCCGTTTTTGCTTCGCGGCTACCTTCAACGCTTTCCCACCTGTAACAAAGTAAACGCCATGCACTTTACAAAACGACAACACCTTTTTTTTTCTTCTTATTTTACAAAAACTAAATTATAAAAAATTGTTGATACCTTCCGGGGTGGACTTAAGAGGTTTCCGGTTAATGAACCTCGAAGAAACGAGAGGTTTATCGATCATCGGTATATTATCCGGCGATTTAATCATCTCCGGTAGCAAATTTTCGAGATCGATTTGTTTCGTCGCTTCTTCAACTTCTTGATCTTTGGACGTGGGTGAATCATCAAGGAGGACGTTGTTGGAGACGAGAATAGTCGGGTCGAGCATTGGATGATTTGGTTGGATGTTGGATTGGTGAAACTTGGAGGAAACGAGGATGGAGATGATGATGGCGTTGAGGGTAAAGAAGAGGTATGGAGGAGTGAAGCAGAGAAGGAAAAAGGTCCATAGGAGATGGAGGTGAGTGGTGGCCAATGGGAGAGAGGATTTGAATCCCAACGCAGTGAAAGTAACGGCTGTAAAAATGAGGAGAAGTTTGAGAGAAAGCATTGTTGTTAATGTTTTGAGTTTGAAGTTTGAAGTTTGAAGTTTGAACAAGAGAGTACAGTGACGAAGGAGTGAGGTTGGAAGCAGTATTTATAGAGAGAGAGAATGAAGGGTAGAGACAAGAGTCTACATTTGATGTCAGCCATTGGATTTACTACTTCTCAATTCAGTTACATGCTGAGGTGTGGTGATCGGTGACCAACTATGTTTTTTTTTAGCTTAAAGTCATGCTAAAAAATCTCCTATAAATATTAATTCAAATATAAAAATGAAAATTTTGTAGACTTTCAAAAAGTCTAATATACAATTTTTCAATATAATATTTTTATATTTATTATCTTAACAAAATATTTTAAGAAAAATCCTATTTTTTCTTGTTTATTTAATTTTTTTAATACTTTGATAAAAAAAAGTTTATTAATATTTAATATTTATTATTAAAATATATTTTTCTTCATTTATTATATATTTGAAGTTGAATTGTTCCAGAAAAAAAGACGCGGAGAGAACACGATTTTGACTTTGAAAGTTAAAAGGTTTATCTCATTTTTTATAAAGTGGTTTATGGTCAATTTTGATGAAAATATTTGTCGTTTTTAATTGATTTTTTATTTAATTTAAATGATTTTCATTTGTTTTTAAGTTTATATGTATTTTTCGGTGATTTTGTAGTTTAGTTTGGTGTGACATTACTTTAATTTTGTCTTAATTATGAATATATTTTCTTCCACATAATATTATGGATATTTATTTGATTTAGATTAAACATTCATATTTGATTCAAAGTACATCAATACAGATTAAGTTCATATTTACTCTCGAGTTATTTATTATGTATCAAAAAATCAAGATTGAAAATTCGTAGAGGACTCTCGAAGCATTTGAATTAAAGGTGGTTGAAAGATACAATGATAAAGAAAAAAAAAATTTTTTTTCTAGACTTAAGAAGTATGAGGCTGATCAGAAGAAGTGAATATTCACTATGGTAAAAAAGACCTTTAGCAGTGTTTTTTTTTATAGACCATTTCACATAATATAAACGAATATTTAGAATAATCTCACATAATAAATAAAGATAATTATTCAGAACAATATAATATATCTCATCACTTACATATCAACCATTTTCTTCATATCAAGATATTTTGTTTGATCACCATCCAATGAATCCAGATAATACACTAGTTCTTTCATCGGATCAACCGCAACCAACAACCAATGTCCACTGTAAAATAAGACAAAAGTTTAGACGGAAATGTTATATAGAATGGCAAAAAATGAATAATTATGATAAATGAATTTAGAATGAAATCTAACTCATGACCAGTATTATATTGCAAAAAATACAACTTCTCTGTATCTGCGATCATAAATGCTTGGACTATGTAATCTCTGACTACATTTGGAGTGTGATCGATTGATCGTGAGTTGATACAGCTAGCAGATAAGAATGCGAATCTTGAAGTTAAATTATGCGGGACCAACAACTTGTCATACAAGAACCTTAAATAAAAATATAATCAACATTATAATATTCATTTAAATGAGCAAATAAATTGTTCAATTATTTAATTAAAATTGATCGAAGTACCTGATGTAGGAATGCATAACACCGATGCCCAATTCAGAATGTTATGGTCCAAATCCTCTTTTGCAATTGTTTCGGCATATTCAAAACCGAAAATACCTTCCTCCATAGGTATTTGACGGATGCCACCCTCAGCCACATCTGTTGTTCCTACATATGTTTCAAGGTACAACCTAAATCGAGGAACAAATGTTTTTTTTAACTCGGCCTTTTTTTTGTTGGGCACCTTGCTAGATTCAGGCATCTTACCCTTGCTGACTTGTTGCAACTGTTGAGCATGAACCTAAAAGTCATATAAGTTAAGTCATTAATGTATAATAATAAGATCATCATGTAATTGTAGTAGTACCTGTTTTTTTGATGCAGCTGAATCGGTTTCCCGCACAATTCCCTTATCTTTTGATTTGGATTTTGTAGGAGTCTAAGATCATCATGTAAATAAATGATACGTAAATTTAAGAATAACTTTCATGTATGGGTCGTAAAACATTTGAATACTACAAGGTTCATAATGGTGTTCAACCTACCTCATCATCTTTGAAAATGAGATTTGACGGCCATGCAACATACGATCCTATTGCGTCTCCCACCACTGTTGCATCCGAAACATCATCTGGTATAGGCAACAACACACCCCCCCCTCTAAAGCAATATCAACCGATACTTTCAAAAATCCAGCAGGGAGCGGTTTATGGTGAAGTAAGTCTCCCAAAGTGTTATGCATGTTTCCCTTGCCAACCATGCGATAAGTCGGTGACGATAAATATAGCCGACAAGGTGAAATGCCCTAAACAAATAATGAATATAATTAATGTGTCAATTAAGATAATTGTGCTAAATTAATTTCAATGTAATATATATAATTACCTCTGGAAGCTTCTGCGGAAAGTTACAATTGATACTATCTTTGTCACTAGTATCTTTACACTCTGGATCGCGCCTTTCTGACATGTATCTCTCTTTGCCCTTTTGTAATTCACGAATCTGAGCTTTCAATTCCTCCAACGTCTCCATCACTTGTTTATTGCTAGGATTTTTATTCTTTGGCTGCTTATACAATTTTGTTGGAGTGACACTAAATCCCTTACCCCTCACACGCCCAAAATACTCAGGAATATTTAACACTCGACTCAGTACGCTCCTGCACTCATCGTCCTCAGCTGCAGTTATAGTCTGGGATAGAGTCTCCTGAAATATAGATAAAAGCATAAATATATTATACACTTTTGAGTTAATGATAGAACTAATGTTGTACTTACACGTTGTTCAAATACTTGTTGAACTTCTTCCTGAACGACTCCATCTCTTCCCACACGGGCAACCTTCCACAAAACATGGTCCGGAAGAGATGTTGCATCACTTTTCTCCTCTTTTAACTACACATTAAGACAAATAATAAAGCATGCATATCCCATTATATATACTTACTACTTTTTATAAATATATCATATTAAAGCATTTATATATACTTACTATTTTTTGTTGTAAGCGTGCATATCCCAAAATCCCTTTTTTGTATGGATACGTGGGTTTTGATGCTCGTTGCTGATTTACATCACTCACAACCTGAAAAAACAAGTTTAAGTCATATCAAAACTCATGTGGAAGAAGTATATATATTATACATTGTTCATGATAAGTTATAATTACATGGAATTCTTTGGTTCTTCGCTTGGCAACAAATGTTTCCCATTCTTTATCTGAAATCAGATCAGCATACTTCTTTGGACGCTCTGATTCGAAAAAGTTTCCATCAGAATTTTTAAGAAAATTGTTCGTTAAAAACGCTCTAAATCCTCTTAGTCGCTTTCCGACCAATTGAAGACAATATTTTCTCCTGCAATCATCAATATTAAAAGATCTCTGCAAACAAATAAACATACATATAGTATGTTAGTATAATTAATTTAAAGACATAACCATCAACATAATTAAAAAATATCAAATATCATACCTGTATCTCGCTCCAAATTTTGTCTTTAGCCGGTTGTAACGAAGGAATTCTCCAATTATCGTAAGTAATTGGAATTTGCGAACAAACAAGTGCTCCAATATGTTAGAACACAGATTGGTTCTTAATAATAACTCTTTGTTTTGATGATAACTGTTAGGAAATTTATATTTAAGAATTATATACTCTAAAATTTGTTTGAGAGTTTTACTGCAGATTGAAATAATATTAACTCTCTAGAAGCAAATCTGTTTTGAATACAAGAAGTTATTCTGACTCTGAAGCGCCAGATGCACCTTACAGAAGAATCTGTTTGCTCCTTACAGAAGATCCTGAGCATAGTCTCCAGAAGGATCTGAAGCAAGAAGCTCCAGAACATTCTGAGTCAGAAGCATCTGAAGATAATCAGAAGCATCTGAAGCTCAAGCATCTGAAGCATAGAAGAATATTGATTGAAGAGTTTCTCAAAGCATTAGTCTACAGAAGTTTCTGAAAGTACCAACGCTGCCAAGTACTGAAGCTCTGTGTCAAAAATGCTCTGATGATCAACACGCTGAAAGCACACCTGCTGCAGAAGACTCTGATATAGCATAGTTCTGAATCTCATTAGAAGACTCTGATCCATTCAGACTCTGAAGAACTTGCTGAAAACTGAAGAAGTAATTTTCAAGAAAATATCCGTTGGAGCTATTCAACGTCTCTTTCCTTATTTGTGCTAGACACACTTACACAGACAAAAAGGATTTTTCTGTGCCATCTACTTCTAGGAAAGGTCACTTGATGTGAAGACAAAAAGGCTCAGACCTTTTGGGACTCTCTTTTCAACGCTCAGCTTGCATGGATCAGCTGCCTATAAAAGGAGAACTTCACCACATTCTTCAGTTACACAATTTGCTGAAAAGAAATCATATTATTCTAAGCTCTCATTCATTCTTATTCTTTTTAGAATCTCATTGTACTTAAACTTAAGAGAAAAATCACTGTTGTGATAAAAGCTTTTTAGAAGCATTAAAACTCTTGTATTTAATTTACATTGATTGTAAAGGATGTTCCTTAAGAGGATTCAGTTGGAATCAGTAGCTCTTGAGAAGACTAAGAACTGTTGTTCTTAGGTGATACTATTGTAATCAGTTTGATTTAATAGTGGATTAAGTCCTTGTTGAGAAAGGCAAATCACTCTAGGAAGGGTGGACTGGAGTAGTTGTTAAACGAACCAGGATAAAAATAATTGTGTGATTATTTTCAATTCTTAATTTTCCATACTTATTCACCCCCCCCCCCCTTCTAAGTATTATCTCACCTTCAGTTGGCATCAGAGCTCCGGTTCTGAGTGTGCTATCACTTAACAGTGTCAGTAAAGATCCAGAGAGATATACTTTGATATATATATTTATTTGTTATCATGGCTGATAATTCAATGTCAAATATTAACAATAAATATGAAGAGAGGGATAGGATCAGCAC